ATCCCATATGTACTTGTGCTTCTATAAGCTTTAGATTCCACTGCCTGAGTGCTTGCTTGAGGCCATACAAGGATTTTTGGAGTTTGCAGACCTTCTGAGACTCCTCCTGTCTAGCAAACCCCTCAGGCAACACCATTTCTACCTCTTCATCTCAGTCACCATTAAGAAAAGCATTATGTACATCCATTTGATAGATGTACCAATGTTTTGAGGCAGCAACAGCAACAACAGATCTTACTGTGACCATCTTGGCCACTGGTGAAAAAGTTTCTCCATAGTCCAGGCCTTCTCTTTGACTATACCCCTTAGCTACCAGTCGAGCCTTGAATCTCTCAACTTCACCGGTAGCCTTATATTTGATCCTGAACACCCACCTACAACCAATAGGTGTCTTGCCAGGAGGTAGGTCTACAACAGACCAAGTATTGTTATCCTCCAAGGCTTGTAGCTCAAGTTGCATAGCTTCTATCCACCTAGGATCAGATGCAGCTTTCTTGAAGTTAGATGGTTCTGAAACTGCTGAGTAAACTGAGATTGCCTGTCTGTAAGTAGGGGAGAGACGATTGTAGTTCACGTGTGCAGAGATAGGGAAGTTGCACTTAGTACCTTTAGTCTTTGTGACATAATCCTGTAGCCAAATAGGAGGCTTGCTTGGTCTGGAAGATCTTCTGCAGCCTGTGGGAGGTTCATCACTAACTGCATCAGAGACAGGAACTTCAGCAGGAGGTGAAGAGACATCAAGGGCAGCATTAGGCTCAAAATTATCAGTTTGTTGTATATGCTCCTCTAGACCAGGTGTTTGTTGTAGTTCAACATCTGAGAAATGGTTAACCTCGAATTCAAAGAAGATGATGTCGAAGGAGCCAGTACTGTAGTACCAGCTGTAGTACTCTCATGAACCACTGAGGAGAGTAAATCCAACACAAGAGATACAGGATTGCCATGTGACTTGACATGTTTGAAAGGAAAGACAACTTCCTTGAATATGATATTTTTTCTCACTAGAAATGTCTTTGAGTGCAATTTATATAGAAGATAACCCTTTTGTGTTGAAGAGTATCCCATAAGCACAGCAGGAACAGCCTTGGGTGAGAACTTGTCTAGTACTCTAGGAGTTGCAGCATAACACAGGCAACCAAAGACTCTCAAGTGAGACAGAGAAGGAGAATGCAAATAAAGCATATCAAAGGGTGATTTGTAGTCAATCACTTTGGAAGGAAGTCTATTCAGTATGTATGTAGCAGTAGTAACACACTCACCCCAAAACTTTAAAGGAACAGAAGCTTGAAATTTGAGTGCCCTTGCCATATTAAGAATAGTTCTATGTTTTCTTTCTACAACTCTATTTTGTTCGGGTGTATACACACATGAACTTTCATGCACAATACCAAGACTAGATAGCAAGTTTTTGAAATCGGTACTAAAGACTCACTTCCATTGTCAATTCTCAAAATCTTAACTGTTGTAGAGAATACATTTGAACTTGAACAAGAAAATTCTTTAGCACAACATAAGCTTCAGACTTAGAGGTTAAAAGAAATGTCCAAGTGTGTCTACTATAGTCATCTACTATAGTGACAAAGAACCTTTTTTCCATCATGAGTAGGACATATGTATGGTCCCCAAATATCATAATGAACTAGTTCAAAAAAGGACTTAGTTGCAGTACTGCTAAGCTGAAAAGGAAGTTTACTTTGCTTGGCTAGTGGGCATACAGTACAGTGGTGACTGTGACTAGTAGTCAACTTATTTAACTTGTCTACTCTTATTATTACATCTAAGGGAGCATGTCCCAATCTCATGTGCCACAAACAGCTTGAGCCTGCAAGAGAAGGAGCAGTAACTGCAGATGCACTCTTATTTGTCATTTGAACAAAAAACTATTCTGAGATACCTCCTTTAAGCAAATAAAGTAAATGTTCCTCTCTACCAATCCCCTTCACCTGACCACTGTAAAGATCCTGAAAAATGTAAAAGTTAGGAAAGAAACCTATCATACACTTTAGTTCCTTGGTGAGTTGTAAAACTGAGAGTAAATTGAACTTAAAGTCTGGAATGTAGAGCACATTAGAAATCTTCCGATTATCCAACACAGGTGTACTCCCTGTGTGTGAGATTAACACTGCATTACCATTAGGATGATGAACTATATTTTTCTCTGTTGTAGGAGGTGACTTATGTGTTTGTAGTAACTCAAGTCTAGATGTCATGTGATTTGAGGCTCCAGTGTCAATTATCCAGTCACTATTGATACACTGAGACACAAATGCATTCACATGAGTTAGAATACCTGCAGCAGCTATTTTGCTAGATGAGCCAGAACCTTCTGCACTTCCTTTGGAAAGCATTTGAATAATATACTGGTATTGCTCCTGAGTAAAAAATGGTTGTGTCTGTGTCATTTGTGGTGTTATAGGATTAGCTGAAGTGAATCCCTTCTGATGATGAGGTCCAGTGTTCAGTTGATTTGCACAGCTGATGTGCTCTTCCTCTGCTACAAAATTTGAATTACCTGCAAAATTAGCATAAAGTCCAGGTGCACTTCCTTTCTTTTTAGACTTGAAATCTGGTGGGTAGCCTATCAGCTTGAAATAATTTTCTTTAGTATGCCCTTTGTAATGACAGTATTCACACTGAACATTGTTCTTCCTTTGTCTATAAACTCCACTGGTGACATTTGGACCCTTGTTCCCATACAGAGCAGTGCTCTCTAGACCCTCTGCAAGCTGTATAACCTGAGCCATGCTTGCCAGATTTCTTTGACTCTCTTGATCAACAAGGAGTGAATAGGCCTTGTTAATAGTAGGTAGTGGAGTCATCATCATAATTTGACTTCTGGATTGTGCATAAGAGTCATTTAAACCAGTAAGAAACTGCAGCAATCTCTGAGCCTCAAAATGCTGAGCATATAGCTTGGACTCAGGACATGGACACCCTGGGCCTCATTCCATAAATCTCTCAGTTTTGAGAAATAGTCCGCCACAGTCATGGTTCCTTAAGTCAAGTTGTGCATTTCTCTATGAAGAAATAATACTCTAGAGCCATTCACTTTGTCAAATCTTTCTTTTAGATCTTCCCACACCTTGTGAGCACTAGATGCATATAATACACTACTCAACAAACCAGGTCTGACAACATTCATTATCCATGACAACACAACAGCATTAACCTTTTCCCACAGATCATGAAGTTCTTGTTCGAACTTAGATTTTGGAAACCTTCCATCAACAAAACCTAACTTACTTTTACCTAACAGACCAGTTCTTATAGCCCGACTCCAAAAGGCATAGTTATCATATCCAGTCAATAATAGAGACTAGAGAACTACCTGGTGTGACAGTCGGTTGTAGGTACAGTGGGTGATTATGATCAATAGAAGGAAATGACGAACCAGCTGGAGCAGAGTTTCCAAAAATGTCAGTAGCTGATGTACGAGCTGTTGTATTGTCTTCTTCAGTGCCAATCGCCATTGTAGACTTCACCTTGAATGAAGAAATACAAACCCTTGCTTCGATTTTATGATTACTCTAAGACAATTTTGCACCTAATTTTGCAGGACTGAAGTAACCTAGAAGTAGAGAGTAGAAAACAGAAGAGAGAATTGAAAAGCGATGACAACTTAGATCATTGTTGGTGGCTCTGATACCATATTAGCTGCCATGGACAGCTGATCTAGAGCTCAGATAGAAGAAGAATTGAAGCAGCAAAGAAAGGAGGAAGAAACACTATTTCATTGAATAGTTGCAGAAAAAACGAGAAAATGAGAATAGTTGTACATTTAAGCTAAGTAAGAAGATATTTATATCTTTTTCTAACTGCCAACTAACTACCTTTACTAACTAACTAGCCAACCTAGTTAGTGATTGCAATAATAGTTAACTACAGTTAATTATCGGCTTGTTGATTCAACCCTTCAACAATAATGTACCAATTTTTACACTATTATCGTACATAAGTTAAATCCTTTTAGTATTGTACCATTATAAAAATCCAATCTTAATAGATGAATTTGTATCAGGGAATATGAGGAGGCAGTAAAGGGGCTAAGCATTTGCATGGCCTTTGCACCAGAAGAAGAATCACATGTTTTAGAGCCATTTGTTGAGAAATTACACTTGTTGTGTTTGGAATCATCATGGAAATCTCTTGGACATAAAGGTCACTTATCAGTTCCTTGACTTGTTTTGTGAAAATCTTGGTGACTTCTTGATCCAATATACAAAAAGAACACACAACCAATAGGACTTTATCAGAAGTCTTTATTTATTTATTCATTTACAATTTGACTTTTGCAAATAGTTTCCTCTGACCAACCTTCTTTGCATTGTTTCAATGAATGGCCTATTTTGGACAGCTCCCAGCAGCTATCTTGGTTCTCATAGCTAAACATTCTTCAAAAGTAAGTTCCATCTTCATGTGTTTTGGATATGCAAATAAAGTCCTTCATTAAAGTTGATAAGAAAAAATAGCTATATATAAGGTACGGCGATGCTTCTGATGCATGGAGCCTTTGGGAAAATCATGTAGGTTTTGTCTAAAGCGGACATGTTAAGAGTATCTTTGGACTAACTTAGCCCAACCATGTGGTCACCACACTTAAAGAATACAAAGCATACAGTTTAAGCTATCTTGTACGGCTTAAACGTGCTTATGGCTAATCGAGTAATTAGTAAAAGATTACAGCTTTTGATAATAACGTTATAAAAAAGATTGAAGAACTAGAATATTTTGATAATAACGTTGCAGATCTATAGGATATTGATCCATTATGAATAACACTCATGATATTGAAACTAAAAGCATGTTGAATTAGTGTGCAACTTTATATTTATTTAAATGATTTACATTGCTCTCTACCATGGTTTACTGAGATTCAACCTGTTGTCGCTACCATTCGTTTTTTTTTTTTTGTTTTTTTTTGTTTTTTTGCTCTCTGTTCTAAAGTAGATACGGTAGACAATGCCATGTTGGATTAAACACAAGTGTTAAAGAGAACGCGATTTGATGAAAAGAAGTATTTATAGAACAAAATCGTTTGGCACAATTAAAGACTGCTGACTGAAAACTGAGTTGAAAGAGTTTCTATATGCTTTGTGACTAGTGCAGGTTAAAAAGCTAGATAAAATTGTACAAATGATCATGAAAGTGATTAAGTAAAGGAAGTTTAATATGAATATCCACAACACTATCTAATCAATGATCTTTGGTATTGAGGAAGTAGGAAGGGAGAAAAGGTGTCCTAGCTGATATTGAATTGGAGGATCTGACGACCGCGAAGCATGAGGAACAGTTCCAGTGGCTGCCTGCCTCTGTCTGTAAGATGCCCAAGTTACCAAATAAAGCCCAGCAATAATGAGAAGTCCTCCCAATATGCTGCAATGACAAATTCATGAAATCTTGGAGTTAAGGATTCACCTAAGAATAAGCAGAAGGTAGAAGTAAAGTAGAAAAGACGATTATATGAGATAGTCAAATGTTCGAGTTTTTAGCCAGGACTATCCCTTATCTTTGGGGGTAAGCTTAACTTTGTCCTTTATGTAACAATTAACATTCAGCACTATTTATCCTCTAAGTTTGCCAAACTTGAGCACTTTTAACAAGAACCATCTCTAAATAAAGCAAATCTTATATATGAATAAAATGATTAAACAAATATGCTCATTTTCCGGTGAAGGAGGAGCTTTCAAAACTCTTTCGCCTTTGTAGTCCTCAATCCTCATTGTGCCAAAATTGTGAAGCATAACAAAGAGGAAAATGATAATAAGCATGGATATTACATAAGTTTCACTTTTAGGGGCAGTATACTAACTCAAAATTTCCGGAAACAGCCTCTCTAACCCTCCGGGATAGGAGAAAGGTGTGCGTACACTCTACTCTCCCCAGATCCCTACTTGTGGGATCCTACTGGGTTGTTGTTGTATACTGACTCAAAAAAATTAGAGCACTAACCTTCCAAGATAAATAGGGCTCCCAAGGAAAACTCTTGATAGGAATGCCGAAGCAGCAGGTTGAAGTGGATTGTACAGAGCAACCATAGAAGGGCCAAGAATTTTATTGCACCATGTCAACATCCCATAGTTCAGGGCAGAAGCAACAATACCCTGAAAAAATAGAAATTATGGTAGCTCAACTATTTTGTTTTCTCCGCTAACTTAACCACTGTTCCTTCTTTTTTTCCAAAACAAATGCACATCCTAACCACACGGGATGAGATATACAGATAGAGGAGAGAATCCACAATGAATCATTTAACATAAGCTTAATTAGATATTTTGGCATTCATAATATGGTTTGGCAGTAAATCCCTATCAATTGCCATTAATAAATAGTCAATGATGATTGGAACTCTAGATAGCAATACCAGGGAAGAAAAGCATGAAGAGCGTTAAAGTGTCAGTTGTACACTAGATTGTATGCTATATGGCACACACACATTATATGCACATCAATGATCGACTAGTATAATTCAAGGCATATCTTCTGCTGGTAAGATAGGAAGGAATTCAAGTTGAAAGAAAGCCACAACTTGAAGCGTAGCTCCTCCCTATTTTCAGTAGAATCCTTATTCACGTTGAATAGAATTAGCTTTGTTTCATAACATAGGCAGTGAGAATGTAGTGCTTATGTCAGATTTACTACAAGAACAGTTGCACCTCAATCCCAAGCTAACTAGTGTCGGCTATATGAAACCTCAACATCCATTTTGCTCCATTTGGACCTGTTTCGTTCCAATATTCAATAACTTGGGTTCTCTAATGCTAGAGGTTCTCTACATTTTCTAATGATATACAAATCTATAAGAGGCTAAAAGGACTCCCATCAAAATCTGGAATTAATGTAAGCATCCAAACATGATTATGCCTTAATCCCAACTAGTTGGTATTCGCCTATATAAACTTTTTTCTTCCATTGTGTTCTTTTTCGCTATGTCTGCATGGGTTCGAGATGGTAGATCCCTGAAAATAATTTCTTTTCTTGTGATTTTGGATCTATCTTATTTGTTTTTTACACTTTTTTTCAATTTCATCATGGTTTCCCAGTTGTAGGCCATGGTCAAACCATCTCAAGTTATCCTCTCTCATATTATCATCTATGAGTGCCTGCTCACAGTTATGTTAATTATACTATTTTGTTCCATCCACAAGATGAGCCGGGTTTCCTTAATGATTTTACATCCTTGTGATTTTTGAAATTGTGCCTCACAATAGCATCAAAATGGCTAAGAGAAGTATGATCAAGCTGAAATTTGAGGATAAGCTATTGGCTTCTGCTTGAATTATCCTATCACCTACCTAGATTTTTAGCATTAAGGAGCAAGCCTTGGTATTGCTCCTTCACAACTTTATGTTAATAATACAGCATTTCCACTTTCTCCTAAAAAGGGAATTGTTGCAGAAACAAACTGCATTGAAAATGAAAAACGTTAATTTACTTGATTTGTCTTCCTCTTGTAATTGAAGACATATTGTCCTCATCAACTTACATCTCTCTTCTTAAATAGAAGTACTTTGATATAAAATTTTTTAAAAAAAAAA